ATACTGTTTGTCTACGTTTTTTATATGTTTATTAAACGTATTATTTCCGTATACTTTCCTTATACTAATTATTTATAGGGAAGGTAAACCTTTCAAAAGTGGTATTTTATGGTTCTTTAACTGTTTTCTTTATTTTTCTTATTTTTAAAAAATTAAATGTATTTTTTAAATAAAATATAATGCAATATATATTCTTTTTGAGTAATTTATTATGTAATAATAAAATAAATTTATAAATAATAAATAACCAAAAAATGAGTTTTATTAGTTTTGATTTTATAAATAGTTGCTTAATTGATTTTTACCTGTTTTTAAGCTGATTGTTGGTCGATTTTAAGTTGATTTATATTGAATTTTAACTAATTTTTAATATTAATGCTTATTGATAGCTGATTTTCTATTATTTAAAATGCTGATTTTTTAGTAATGATCAGCAGAATTAGACTATATTTTGGTCAACTTTCAGCATTTTAAAATGTAATGAATTGTATTATTTTATCTAATAATATATTAAATAATTACTAATTATTAAATGATGATTTTTTATTAAGTAGCAGTTGTATTAGATAATTTTGCTAGCCAACATTCAGCATTTTAAAAAAGTGACGAAATGAATTATTTTAATTAGTATAATAGAATTTTCTTGGATTTCATTTCATTTATTACTTAAGAAGAAGTAAAATATGCATTTGCATTATTAGTTTGGTTGTTAAAAAAGGTAAGAATTATATTTTCAATAATATTTTCCAAATTATTTGTGAAAAAGAAAGATAATTTTTTTGTTTATTTGAAGATTTAGTATTAAAAGTATTTGGATTTTTTATTTAAGAGATAGAAATTGTTTGAAAAAAAAATATTTTAAGTATTTAAAGTAAAAAGTTTTGAAAAATTATTTTTGCTTAGCAAATTTTTATTTGAATTTTTTGTTTGTCTAGTAGTGATCATGATGAAGTCAGAAAAGAGTTCTATTATAAAGATCTGATCATATATTATTAAGATAAAATATTTTGAAAATTGGCTTAATTTTTAATTTAATTGGTTAAATATTTGATATAAAATATTGCAAAATCACATAACTTATGATATTACAGCAATTATATTAATTACAACATTATAGAAATTGTTTATAAATGTAGCAATGTGTAAAATTTATATCCATAATATGTATATATACACTTTAATATATTGTGTACACAAATTATACAACATAAAATGTGCACAAATCATTAATAAAATAGATAAATTATGTATAAAAAAAGTAACATTATATAAGAAATTGTTATGATTTTCTTATTTTAGTAATAATTTATTGATTTATGCTAGAGCTTATGGGTTCATGTAATGCAAAATTAAAAATTATGCATTTTAAAATTACTAAAAATGCAAAATATGCAAAAAAAAATTTTATATAGGAGCGTTTCCAGTAAAATCACATTACAGATCATATGATTTATTATGCCTCATGACTTGATTTTACTGGAAATGTTCCCATATAATAAAAAAGATGAAATTTTAATTTTATTGATTATTATAATATAAAAAGTTCAACATTTCAATAGAATTCTCTGAAAGCGATCTGCATCTATCATCTAAAATTCTTTTATAATTGGAAAAACTATGTTCAATATCAACTACTGAAATAGGTAACTGTATATATAAATTAAAGTTATTTTTGATAAATTTAAATCCAAATCACATTTCTTAAAAATTTCTATTAAATCACAATAAATTGTCTATTCAGTTGTAATATAATTAGAAATTCTGAAATTAGGTTATAATTAGCTAAAATATATCTATTTTGAAGTGATTGAATAAATTGAGGATTAAAACATTGAAAAATGTTGAATAATAGTAAAGCAGAATGAAAATTTATATGTTTTTCAAATTTTTTTAATGCTTTATTAAAAGCTTCAGAAAAAATTGAAGTAAGGTAATCATAATTTTGATAATTATGAGATAAAAGTTATATTATTTTTACATTAAATGGTATTTTGTAAAAAAGCTTTTGTTTGTTTAATTCTTGAAGAAACAATAGCCTGATTTCTTATTTTAAAAAATTTAAGATCCAATATTAATCTAAAAAAAAAAAATTTAAATATTTTAATCATAATAAAATAATAAAATAAATTTAATATTTATCTTTGTGCATTAAATAAAATAAATTTGATTAAAATATTTACATAAAAATATTGACTTTGATTCTAAAAAATTCTTTTAATTCTTTAATAACATTAGCATTTATTTTGCAAATTTTTTAATATAAAATGTTGATAATATATATTTTTCTATCTAAGTTACAAATTTAAGCTAAGAATTCCATCCAGTTTTAATAGATAAAGAATGTAAATTAGGTAAATTAGCAGATAAATCTTGTATGTTTTCTTCATCAAATAAACTTTTATTTGTATTTAAAAGAATAGATTTTGAAATTAAATATTCTTTTTATCTTCTTTTTCTTATTGCTGAGTATATAAATAAAGTTTTAATATGTTTTACTAAAATATCTAATAATTTAAAGTATTTAAAATCCACCCATGTTTCATCAACAAGATTATAAATATAAGCAAAACATATATTATGAAATAAGTGTAGTATTAATAGAAATAAAATACTGGTAAATGCTTTTTTTCATATATGCACTAATAAAAAATATTAAATTAGTAAAAGGAATATTATATGAATGAATAGTATTAACAAAAGCTTGTGCAATTGTTATATAGTTTACAGCTTTTAAAAAAATGGTATTTACTAATTTAATTTTATTATAAAAACTAAATAATATATTAGAAATTCTATGATTAGATAACTTATTCATTAACTTATTTTTTGCTGATTTCAAAACAGCTGGAAGATATCTTTCACGTAGATGATTTGCATTAATAATAGTTCCTTTTTTAATTTTTAATTAATATTTAAAACAAAAAAACAAATATATTAACAAAGAAAAAAAAAAAATTTAAAATTAAAATGCTAAAGAGTAGGTAATACTTACAAATAGTTTTGAATAAGTATTTTCTTTTCATATAAATGTTTTGACTGTTATTCTTTAATTTATATTTTATAAATTACTAACTATTATTATTTATAATAAGAGTAAGTATATATAAAAGCTTTTACATATAAAACTTTAAAAAAAAATTTTTTTGAGTTAATATTAAATATCAACTTATTTACCTAAAAAAATTATATTTAGCTTATAAAGTAAAATTTTAATTTTAAAGTTTTGTATCTTTTTACTACAAAGTGTCTATATATATTTTACATAAAAATAGACATAGATATTTTGATTATAAATTTATAATTCAGTTTAGCATAATAATAATGATTTTATTTAATCAAATAATTTTACATTAAATATATAATTTCACATAATTTTAAGATTTATTACATTATAAATCATATAATTTAATGATGTTAGACATAATAGATGGATTGTTACAAGTGTAGTATAACTTAAGTTGTTACAATTACTACATCTTAGTATATAAAATCTGAGTTAAAATTTATGTGCATAAATTAGAATCCACAGATTCGTGCATTTGTATAATTTCACATTTATGCACTATAATTTTGCATAACATATGCATCGCACTTTTGAGGCAATTTTCTCATTTTTTGCATATTTTACGTGACCTTATATTGTATTTTATTGTATTTACCATTTAAAAAATAAATTTTATTCGATCATCTGCATCATTTTTTTTATAAAATGGTTATGGCATCTAAGCGATTATCAAAAAATTCAATCTAAAAAATAAAAAATTATACTGTAAATTTTGCAATTATATAGTTAAATATGAATAGAAATATGTTATAGAAGCTCATATAAACTTATCAACTTATTTAAAAAAGAAAAATAGTGCTGAAGCTTTACAAACTACCATACCAAGTATTTATCAAATTAGATTAGAAAAACAAGAAATTAATATACACCTTGTTGACAAAGCTAATATTCTACTTAAAAAAATTGAAAAATTTAAACCTTTTTTATTAAACTATTGTAATAATGGTAAGATTTTTATCTACATTATACTATTGAATAACTTCTATTATTTTTTTTAGAATTTTTTTTTTTTGGTAAAAAATTTCAATAAAACATTTTTTTTATAAATGAATAAAAATTTTGGATTCAATCCAATTTTTTTTATCAAATAATTGCTTAATGTATTTTTATAGATTTTTGATTACTTGTAAATATTTTTTATCTCTAGTAAGTTTGTTTATTTTATTTTTATTAGAGTTGATTTTTATAATGAAGTAAGGAAACCAAGAAAGAGTTGAACAATTTAATAATTTTTTATAAATAATAAATATTTATTGATATTTATTTTTAAACAAAATAAATTTATGATTATTGAAGATTTTATTCATATTGATATATTACACAAAATTTTGAACCCTGTAATCCCGTTTGTGACACGATGTTTGAAGAGCCACAGCAATGCATGATACTTCTAATTATGGAAAGATATTCACGGCAAAAAAATAATTATAACCTATTGTAGAATAGATCGGAGGTTTAAAACCAGCTCGGAGTTCATTATAAATGTGTCCGCTAATTTCGATCGACCTTCTTTATTGTTATTTATAGAATTTTGATTTCTAATAAGAGATTCCTGATTTTCAAAGTATCATAGTACTTTCCCCCACATTTTCCCTACCAGTATCTACTATACACAACCAATGAACCCTAGTCAACAGGTCAACTCTGTCGGTGTTACAGGCAACTTCAGCACGGTTAGTCGTCAGTTTACTCACGAAAACCTACAAACTTTACTTGCGGTAAGTTTCAAGGGATGAAACTATTTAGATCCTCTCTTTTCACTGTGTTTTTTTTGTTTTTTTTGTTGTTTTTTTTTGTTGGAGCTTGTGTGACTTACTCTTAGAATATTAAAATTTTTGGAAAAAGTAACAATACTAAAAAATTATAAAGCTTTTTAATGTATTTTTTTTGTCATCAACTTTTTAATAAATAAATTTTCGCGCGAATTTAAAATTTTAAATTGTTAAAAGATATAAAAATTTATTTAAATATTAATTCTTACTTATGTTATCTTCAGAAAACTAAAGCTATGCAAGCGCGTGGTGATACAGAGGCTAATAATCCTGAACTTGCTCAATCTCTTAATATTTTAAGGGCTCTCCAACAACAGCAACAGAATGTCGTAGCCATTTCTACTGGCGGTAGTGGTTCGGATAATGTTAATGGAGGTGAAGGTGATGCTGGTAAAACTCCTCCTTCATCAGTACCGACATCATCCACAGATACCCAAATTACTCAGAATTCACAAGTACCTCCAACTCCTTTATCTGGTGATCAATTAATGTCTTTGAAATATCAAATTCTAGCGTTTAAATTAATATCGAGGAATCTACCTGTACCATTTTTATTACAACAAGCAATGTTTCATCCAAATCAAGTACAGGGTATATCTTCACAAGATTTAGTAGGGTCAATACCTGGAAAAATTGTAGAAGCTTCAAATATTCATCATAATCAACAAGCATCTCCAACTGCTTCAATATCATCGACAGATATAGTTTCTTCACCACAACCCACAGGGTCAGGTTCATCGTATAATTCTTATACAAATCCTCACACATATTTAAAACCTGTCCAATCATATTCACATGCTTCTCGTCAGCAAAGAATGCTAATACCAGCCATAATGCCTGTTGGTCTTGATCCTCAAGAAATTGCTGCTGAAAGAGAACGATTTCTTCATGCCAGAAGGCAACAAAAAATAATTGAAATGCAGCGTTTTTTGAATGAAAATGTTAAAATCGATAATCATCAAAGAATACGGATCGAGAAACAGCTAAAGTCTTTAAAAGTATTTAATAGACAGCAAATGGTAGGAAATGTTTTGTTGCTTATAATGATATTCTATTTTACAATATTGAAAAAAAATAGTAAATAATTTTATAGCTTCGACAAGAAATAATAAAGTGTATGAATCGGTCAACCTCACTGGCTTCATCAACTGATCGCGCTGCCTTTAAGAAAATGAAAAGACAATCTATTAGGGATGCAAGATTCACAGATAAACTTGAGAAACAGCAAAGAGAAGATAGACGACGTAGACAAAGACAAAAGCATTTGGATTACTTGCAAAGTATTATTACTCATCGTTCAGAAATGCAAACATGGCATCGTACATATCAGGGGAAACAACTTAAATTTGGGCGTGCAGTTTTGGCGTTTCATTCACAAATTGAGAAAGAAGAACAGAAGAGGATAGAACGTATTTCTAAAGAACGTATTAAAGCCTTAAAAAATGATGATGAAGAGGCTTATCTTAAACTTATTGATGAAGTCAAGGATACAAGAATTACACACCTTTTAAAACAAACGGATTCTTATTTGGACTCTTTAGCTCAAGCTGTTGTTGCGCAACAAAATGATGAATTGCATAGTGATCCAACTGTTAGAGGTGGAATTGAATTGATGGATGAGGATGACGAGGATTCTATGACCATAATCGTAAGTAGTCATTTTAAATTCATCTTATATTTAATTCATTTCATTAAGTATACTTTATTAAGACAATATACAAATATTGTTTTATTATATAACAGAATGGCAAAAAGGTTGATTATTATGCCGTCGCTCATAGAATTAATGAGGAGGTAGAACAACCAACTATGATGATGGGTGGTACTCTGAAAGAATACCAAGTTAAAGGTCTTCAATGGATGATTTCATTATACAACAATCGTTTGAATGGTATTCTTGCTGATGAAATGGGTCTTGGGAAAACCATTCAAACTATTTCACTGGTCACTTACCTCATTGAAAGGAAAAAGCAAAATGGGCCTTTCTTGATCGTTGTTCCTTTATCGTTAGTTTAAATCTTCCTCTTTAATTTTGTCTCGTTCAATTGTCTTATTTATTGTTGGTATTGATTAAAAAAATAATTGATTCTTTCTTGTTAGCACTTTGACTAATTGGACCATGGAATTTGAGAAATGGGCTCCTTCTGTGATAAAATGCGTATATAAGGGAACTCCGAATATTCGTAAAGAACTTCAACAACAATTCATAAAACATACCAATTTTCAAGTCCTCCTCACAACGTACGAATACATTATAAAAGACAAAACCGTATTAAGTAAACCTCGCTGGGTGTATGTCATCATCGATGAAGGTCATCGCATGAAAAATGTGAACTCAAAATTATCAATAATTTTGACGAACAATTATCAATGCCGATATCGGTTAATTTTGACGGGTACACCTTTACAGGTATATTTAACATAAACATCACACTTAATTCTAAGAAATTATCTCTTACTTAATCTTTTTGTTTTCTATTGTTCAACAGAATAATCTCCCTGAATTGTGGTCACTTTTGAATTTCATTTTGCCAAAAATCTTCGATTCTGTAAAGAGTTTTGATGAATGGTTTAATACACCATTCGCTAATACAGGCGGTCAAGATAAAATAGCATTAAACGAAGAAGAGTCATTGCTTATAATAAGACGTTTACACAAGGTTCTAAGACCGTTCCTTTTACGTCGTCTGAAAAAGGATGTTGAATCAGAATTACCTGATAAGGTTGAACGGGTAGTAAAGTGCAAGCTTTCTGCTTTACAAACGAAATTATATAGCCAAATGAAAAGACATGGGGTATTGTTTGTAAACACTGGTGAAAAGGGGTAAGCTATCTTTTTTTTTTGATTTAACAGAGATTATGTTTATTAAACTTATACTAATGTTAAATTTAGGAAAACCGGTATTAAAGGTCTTAATAATACAATTATGCAATTGCGTAAAATATGTAACCATCCATTTGTCTTTGATGAAGTCGAAAAGGATGTAAATGGCAGCAATAATAATCATTTACTTTACCGAGTATCGGGCAAGTTTGAATTATTAGACAGGATATTACCAAAGTTTTTTACGACTAATCATAGGGTAATATAAGTTAAATGTTTCTAAATTTTAATTAATTATTTTACATTCAAATATTTAATTCGAATATATTTATTATAAAATTTTAGGTTTTGATATTCTTCCAAATGACTGCTATTATGACTATTATGGAAGATTTTCTTAATTGGCGAGGATTTAAGTATCTTCGTCTGGATGGTACTACAAAGGTATAATGATTATATAATGATAAGCAAATATTTATAAAATTTATAATGCCTTTTTTATTAACCAATTATAATTTTAAAGGCCGAAGATCGTTCAGGTTTACTGCAGAAATTTAACGCGCCGAATTCCGATTATTTTATATTTTTACTAAGTACACGTGCAGGTGGTTTGGGTTTGAATTTGCAATCAGCAGATACCGTAATCATCTTTGATTCAGATTGGTAAGACTTTTACTTTACCTAATTAAGATAAATTTCTTAAAATATATTAACATTCAAAATTTTCAGGAATCCTCATCAAGATTTGCAAGCTCAAGATCGTGCACATCGTATTGGTCAGACAAAAGAAGTTCGTATTTTACGTCTAATTTCTCAAAAGTCGATCGAGGAACAGATTCTAGCACGTGCACAATATAAACTTGATATTGATGGTAAAGTTATCCAAGCTGGTAAGTTTGATAATAAGAGTACGGCAGAAGAACGGGAAGCATTTTTGGTATGTGCAATACAATGAATCGTAGTCATATGAAAGCATTTTTCATAATTTGGAAAATGAACTTATTGTTAAACTTTTTCATGCATAGCGCTCGCTCATAGAAGGAGAAAATGAAGAAGTAAATGATATAGAAGAGGAGGAAGAACTTGACGATGATGAGCTTAATGATATCATTTCTCGAAATGATGCTGAACTTGAATTATTTAGAAAGATGGATAATGAAAGATATGATGAAGAAGAAAAAGAATGGCGTTATACCGGAGGAAGAGGAAAGCGTCCAGAAAGATTAATTGAGGAAAGAGAATTACCGATGGTTTACATAAAGGAGTATGACACCGTAATACAACAAGAGGATTCTAGTATTGAATATGGTCGTGGGCAAAGGCCAAGAGGAGAAGTTCATTATGATGATGGATTAACGGAAGATCAATGGGTCAATGTAAGTATTACTTATTGTTGCTTTAAATCTTTTATAAAGAAAAAATTTTAATTCGACCTATTTTAGGCTATACAGGATGATGATATAGACGTCACTGAAATAATAGCCAAAAAACAGGCAGCAAAGAAAAAACGTATAGCGAAAAAGAGTCAAAAAACACACACACCTGAGTCATTACAAAAGTCTACACATCATCACGATTTGCAACATGTGATACATTATGATGAATTAAGTGCTGATACATCTGAATCCAAGGAATCCAAGAAAAAACGAGGGAGACCACGTAAAGATGAATCACATATTACAGATGATATAGGTGATTCACAATCTAAATCTTCAAAAAAGAAAGGTAAAGGTAAACGATTAGAGATTGTTGATTACGGTGGTCCCTTAGATCAACCTAAAAATGTAAGTATAATGGTAATGCGCATTTTCGGGAAAAAAAATTTTTTTCTATACGATTGTATTAAATTACCATTTTATTCATTGATAGAAGAAGCGTAAAACAATTAAAAAATCTCATGATGATGAAAGTATACATGAAACACAGATGAAGAGACTCTTTATGCAATGTTATTCTGCTGTTGAAAATCTTACAGAAGATTCAGAAGGGTTTGTATAAATATTCTGTGACTCTCACATATTTATATATTTATTTACTTGCAATTTTTTGTTTTAACCATTATTCTTTTGTAAATCCTCAATAGCGAACCTCGTCAACGTGCATATCTATTCTTGCTACTCCCTAGCAAAAAGGATTATCCATATTATTACCAAATAATTACTAAACCTATCGCTATGGACACAATAAAAAAAAGGATCAAAAATAATTCATACAAGTCACCAAAGCAATTTCGAGATGACTGGCATCTTATGTTTAATAATGCAAGAACCTTCAATGAAGAGAATTCACAAATCTATATGGATGCTGACAAGTTGCAGGTATTTAATTTAAAAGATTTGGTCTTATTTTTATCATTTACATATTTACATTTTTACATATTAATTATAATTAATAGGAAAAGTTTGATTCCAAGTTTGAAGAACTTTTCCCAGCTGGTGAATTTCCATCTGAAGACATGGAATTGTAAAGGAAATTTTATTTGAACATTTTTGATGCCAAGGACGATTATAAGATTGTTGAAATTATCCGGCTTTTTAAGATTGACCAAAAAAAGACTTTCTCCTAAAAACACCATCGCAAAATATTCTAATGATAATGTTGATTTAGTATAAACATTAATAATTCTAATGTAGTTTTATAAACGGAATAAATTTTCTTAAAATCACAAATTGTAAACGATAGATATATATTTGTTTATTAGTTAGTTAATGAACGAAAACAGTAAATAAAGTTAATAATTGTAAAAATCGTAATTTATTTAAATCGTAAAAATCCACGTTGATTAGTATACAAACTATTGCATCTAAATGTTCATTAATTATATAGAAGTATAACTTAAAAATATCACCCAAAAAAAAAATTTGATAAAAAAAGCTCATTGGTAAAGTTATTGAAGATTGAAAAAAAAAAATTACGTTTTATGGCTCAAAAAAAATTTTTTTTTTTTTTTTTTTTTTTTTGCTATTTAAATGTTACTCCATAAATTTTTTTTCTACAATTCATAATTCTACTCTATTATAAACAATATTATCTTTAACTTTTACGAAGTCTAATCTAACCGTACCTTCTATAGTACGAATAAAGTGAACACTTCCAAAATCATTCTTGTAAACATTTTTATCTTTAAGATTACTTACTTTAATAATAATTTTTGAACAAAGATAGATTTTATTATTACAAAATTCCACAGAAATTTTTCGTATTTTTTTAGGATATGATAATATTTCTGATACTTTAAAACAGAATGAATCATCTATGTTGTCATATGATATTGGACTATTATGTGTATAAAATCCTCCTTCTCCATTGAAATATGATACTTTAATCTTTTCATTGTTAGCAGAAAAAAAAAGAGTTTAATTATTTTTTAAAAAATTAAAAATTGAAATGATAGTTGATACTTACCCAACACCACCAACTTTTTCCTAAGCCATACGTTTCCATTATTTCGTCTCTAATTACAACATTTATACAATCTCTCCATCGCTTGCTAGTCCGTCTTAATTTTGCAAGCTCTTTATAGCTTCACATTATAATTTTCAGTAAAGAATTATTATTAATGAGAAAAATACAAATTTTATTAAAAGAAAAAGTAACTTTGTTTATACCTTGTATGATATAATACTTCAAAAAATATTTTGATAAAAAGTTCATTGGGCAATTGATCAGACATCATAATGAAATAAAGCAATTTTTTTCGGTTCCTTTTTTTTTTAAAGGAGCTTCTAAAATGGAGAAATTGAAAAGAAAATAAACCATGTTATTATGTAATCACTCTACATTTGTTTTTACGAATTCGTTCTGATCGGTTTCACAAAATAATTTTTTGGTGATAAATAAAAAAAATTTATTTTTAACCTTTTCTCACAATCATGATTCGGCGGACTGTTTACTTCTATAAAAAATCTGTTAATTATTTAAATTATAGACTTTACACTTCAGGCCAAAATCATTGTAAATATTAAATCTTGCTCTGGACTTTTCTTACATTTTTTTCCTTTCTAACAGCCTTCAAATAAAAACTTCATAGACCTTCCATCACTTCCTATATTTAAGCAACTTCTTAAACATGCCGAAACACAACCTATGCAAAAAACCGCAATTGTGGATGTAAAATCAAACTCTTCTCATTCATATCGAGATCTTGTCTCTGATATATCATCATTTAGAAGTAAATTATTAAAAGAATCTTTTAATCAAGACTTAAATGAGAAATGTATAGCATTTTTATGTCCAAGCGGATATGATTATGTCGTTTCTCAATGGTCAATTTGGTCAGCTGGAGGAATTTCTGTTCCATTATGTAAGGTGATAATTAAATTTAATTAATTATTTAAGTATTTAATTTTAATATTTTTATTATAGGTACAACACATCCGAAATCCGAGCTTTTATACGTATTAAAGGATTCGCAAGCATCCACAGTTATTACACATCCGGACTTTTATGATAAGATAAAAGATGTGACCAAAGAGGCAGGAATAAATAATCTCATGATAATTGGAGAAAAAGGTCATAGATATAGCGATTTTGATGGAAAGAATTATAAGGTATGTGTGAAATTCTATCAAATATACACACATATATTTATTTGGAAAATTTATTATAGTTTTTTTAACTTAATTAGCCTCCATCCATAGTTTCGATGAAAGAATCACGTAGAGCTTTAATTATATATACTAGTGGAACTACAGGTAATTAGGATTTTTTTTTAATCAAGATTTTAAATAGTTAATTTTTATTCACGTGTAATGCATCTCTTATGTTATAGGAAAGCCAAAAGGAGTGGTTTTAACTCATTCTAACATTATGGCTCAAGTTTTACCACTTATTAAAACTTGGAGATGGAGCGATAAAGATAGGATATTACATGTATTGCCTTTACATCATATGCATGTAGGTCATCTTAAATTAATTTATTTGTAAATTTTTTAATGAATGTTATTAATCAATCCATAAAATTTAAATAGGGGATATTAAATGTGAGCTAAATAAAGCTTTTGATTTATAGTTTGATTAGTGTTGAAGTTTTATATATCTGTTATATTTTATTGTCTAGGCACTTACATGCGCGATTCATGCAGGAGCAACTGTTGAAATGTCACCAAAATTTGACGCAGCCGAAGTGTGGAATAGGTGGATGAGTCCCGAAAGAAATCTTTCTTTATTTATGGCTGTTCCCACAATTTACTGTAAATAAATTATTTAAATTTGATTTGGTTAATTCAAGATTTATTTTAAAATTATAAATTTTAATATCCTTCTAGCAAAATTGATTCAACATTATAAGTGTAAGATTCCTGATGAATTAAAACTTCAAGCAACAGAATCATCTTCACAGTTTAGATTAATGATTTCTGGATCAGCATCTTTACCTCGTCCAATTAGAAATACTTGGAAAGAAATTAGTGGTGGGCAAATACTTTTGGAAAGATATGGAATGAGTGAAATTGGAATGGCTTTAAGTCATGAATACGAAGAAAAAAAAAGATTTGAGGTAATAGATCAAATACAAACTTGGATAGAATAATATATATTAGTTAGTTATTTAAACAAATATTCCATTAAATAATTCTTTTTAGGGATGTGTTGGATTTCCTTTACCAGGAGTTCAGATAAGGTTAATTTCTGAAGGGGGGAAAAATGTTACTAATTTAACTGAGGTACCAGGTGAAATCCAAGTCAAGGGACAAAATGTATTTAAAGAGTAAGCAGAAACATATCTTAATTTGATAATACCTAAAATCCAAGATATTAAATTATTTATTAATAGATATTGGAATAAACCTGAAGCTACACAAAAAGAATTTACACAAGATGGATGGTTTAAAACAGGTGATATAGCAATTAGAACTGAAAAAGAAAATGTATTCAAAATACTTGGAAGAAATAGTATTGATATTATTAAATCCGGAGGATATAAAATTTCCGCATTAGAAATTGAAAGAGAATTATTATCACATCCAAATATTTTAGACGTTTGTGTTTTAGGAGTTGAAGATTTAGAATGGGGACAAAAGATTGGTGCTATAGTTGTATTAGAAAATAAGGTATATAGATATGATACCAATTTGAAAATGCTTTTCGTTTAAGCCTTTAATTTTAATAAAAAAAAAATTTTTTTTTTTTTCATAGGAATTGAAAATGGATTTAAATGTGTTGAAAGAATTTTCCAAGGATAAATTGGCCAATTATAAAATTCCTAGTTTGTTAAAAGTTGTAGAAGAAATACCCAAGAATGCTATGGGTAAAGTAAATAAGAAAGTGTTGGTTAAGTTATTTGATGGCGTAAACATAAATAAAGGTTAAAAATAATGCAAGATAAAATATTTATTACATTGAATACATGAGATGAGTTCTTTTTTTTTAAAACAGAAAAACATTTAAAATAATCTATAATTGTCTATTTTATTTTATTCCTTTTAAAAAGAGGTTCCGTTATGATCATTTGTTACATCATATTTCACCAATATTCATCATATTCATCATATTCATCATCTTGGCTAATAAACGTATCATTAAAACTACCAAAAACAAATGGAGTGGGGACAACGGTAGTAAATTTATTTTTCATCATTTTACCACCAAGTTTACGTTTGTTAATGTGATATTGCTGATCAAGTACGATTGCTTTTGGTGGAGGAGGGTTAAATAAAATCATTCTTTTTTCGAAGAAAGTTCCTCTAGAAGGAGGAGGAGGGTTGGGTACAGGTTTCAAAATACCGAATGCATTCAATAGATTACCAGTATTTAGATCGGGTGATGTTGATACGAAATCCGATAATGGGGATGTTGGTGATACGCGTAATTGTGTTGCAGCGTATGGAAGTAAAATTGATTTTTGTCGAGGAGTATTTATTTTTGGTTCCTTATGATATGATTTATTTGGAGACTTTGCCGAATCTTCGTCTAAATTATCAAGTGTTTTAACTTTATAGTCGGAACAAGGATGTATCTTCTCTAGGTTAAGAAAAGGCAATAGGCCATTCGCACGAATTCTTTTTGCAAAAATTTTTTGTAGCCTTGAAATTTTGTTCATCGTATTGTCATTTTGAAAGGTTGGAAATGACGAGGTGGTAGTAGAAGTTTGGATAAAAGACATTTTGAACTTGATTTCTAAGATGCAATCCGAGTATATATATATAGAGATTTATTTTTTTTATTTTTATTTTTTATTTGGTTGTATGAGTTTTATGAGTTTTATGAGTTTTTAATCGAGAAACAAAATAAACGAAAGGAAACACAATTTTTAACATCATTTTCCACGAGTATTTCTATTATAATCATAAAATGTAATGAAGAATTAAATTTTGTATTATTCACAGGATAAATTTTTACACAGGAGTACACGCTTATTGTATGCGTAAAGGGATTTTTACTATTTACATTATTCTTATTATTGTTTCACTTGAATATTTTTTTAATGTCATTGTTTTTAAAAAAGTGAACCACCAATCAAGTTTCGCAGTGATTTCTTCGCGGCAAACAATAAGTCTGTCCGTCTTTACAGCTACATCATATGGTATTTGTCTTTCAAAAACATCTTTGAATAAGACAAATAGTAGTTAACCATCTTGTTCTAATTTTAATTTTTTTTTTTTAATTTTAAAAAAAAATTTCTTTCCATCTCATTCCAAAAGGTTTTTTGTTCGTCGTCGACCATTTATTATACTGCCAACCGAAGATCAGAAGTAAGTAATATTTTAAGCGGGCATGTAACTTTATATACTACTGATCAGCGTTCTTTCGTCTATCTAAAATTAGCTTTCCTCACGCATACAAACTTTTGATGGTTAATGTAGAAATCCTATTCCGTGACTGAAATCAAAAATCTTAATAAAGATGTCCATAATTTTTCAAATAAATACACCAATACTAATAATAATCATCAAATTTGACATTTTTTAAATCTAACAATAACAATTTATGATTTAAAGGAAGTAGCTTTATTGATTTAAATGACGCAGAAAAAAATTTCCATCTCAAGATTTAACTCGATATTCTATTTGTTAATAAAATATTAAAATAAATTTAAATGCTTAGTATAAATGGAAAATGAAATATTAATTGAAACAATTACATCTAAAAAAGGTCAACTCTTTGTTTGCTTATGATACCTCATGAAAATGAAACTAAATTGTTAAATAAAGAAATTGTCATGAAGTAATTATCACTTATTTTAAAACTTTTTCTTATACAAATTTTATTTCGTAAAAAATAAAATTTTAAAGTATATCATACCCTTTATATAATATTGAAACTATATACATCATATAGGTCGAAAACGTACATATAATGTATCTAAAAGATTGCTTTTTAATATTCGCTTTCATTATTTAAAAAGATTTAACGCTCGACATGAAATACTATCATGTTAACTAATTATTATTTAAATTCATAAAATTAATTGTAACGTAAATTATATGATATATGAAGTGTTACAACCAAAATACTTTGTAAAATAAATATATTTAAAAATACATTAATGAATTTACTTCTAATTGGAAACTTTGGTTAATTGTTTTTAATTATATTATTACATAGATAAGGTCCGGAAACGTGCCAAATGTAAAAGATTCCGGAAACCCTCTTCCATGTGGATTTACAACCAAGAATAACTAGACGGATAAATTTGTCTCGGCGTTTAAATAATTCTTACGCCATTCAACACAAAAAAATTTTATTTGATGAAACAAAAAAAATTTTGGAAAAATTAGTTTGTTCATGCCCACATGTAGCTGTCGGTTGGCAACCCCGCCGGGTGCATTTAGAGAGGTTTGACTGTACAACCGGAAATCCGAATAATTTTAAATTAAAAACGATCATTATTTCCAGTACCATTATGATTTACAAATAAAAAATAGTTAATGCTAAAAATCATGACATATAAAAAAAGTAAAATTGATTTTTCCCGGCAGTTTCCCCCCTTACTATCTTTCTATTGCAAAGGCCCCATATAATAATTTTTTTAATATTCCCAATTGTGGCTACCTTATTGTGTTATGATGTCATATCAACAAACCTTCGATTACATTTAAAGTTAACTTAATGTATAAATAAATGTATAAATTATGCGTTTCTTGTATTAAAAACAAAAAAAAAAAAACATGCAGGAAGTAACACCACGTTCATCTACGACATCGGTAGATATATCTGCAAGAGGAATAACTGGTCAAGAAGACAATGAAGACAGTGCAGTTAATTTGAATTTTACAAATAACGATTCATACTTGCATGGCCAGAATGAACACACGCAGATTGTTCGAGGAAATAATAGAACTATGAAAATGATATTATTGACTCAATGTTTAGCTGGGTGAGTTATATATTCAATTTATTTATTAATTAAAAAAAACGTTGTTGAAAACTTTTGTTTTATAATTTATATTTCATATTAATTCATTTTTTTTATTTTCAATGCAAATTATTTACAAGTCTACAATTTACTTGTAGGTAAAGCTAGGGTTAAATTAGTTTCTTCATCATTATTTCTTTGAATGATAATTATTTAAATGAGCATTTTTTTTTTTTTTTTAATTATTTAGGGTCCGTGGAACTGGCATATGGTAAGTTCTATTAGTAATAATAATTCATCGTATGCACCACAAGTCGCGGATATTATTTATTCTCATTGAGTTATTTGTTTGATTAGGCACACCATATTTACTCTCTTTAGGCTTATCAAAGTCATTAATGTCTTTAGTATGGCTTGCAGGGCCTTTATCGGGTAATTTATAATCTCTTTTTAATTTTATTTTATTCCTTTTTCTTTTTTTTTTAAAAAAAAAAAATAACAACAAATTAAATATTATCAATAATTTATCAATAATTTATAATCTAGGTCTTATAATGCAACCTATAGTTGGATCGCTTTCAGATAATTCAAAGTCTAGATTTGGCCGAAGAAGGCCTTTTTTATTAGTCGGTAGTTTGCTAGTTATATGTGCTTTAATATGTATGGGTTGGACTAAAGAAATCGTTGGTTTATTATTTGGAAAAGAGTCTTCGACGGTAAATTTGAGCCTATTAATACGTTATCAAATGATTTTAATATTCTGATGTATATTTTCTTTAAACTAGACAATTTTATTATCAATGTGGTTGGCCGTTTTTTCGATGTATCTACTTGATTTTGCAATAAATTGTGGTAAGAGTTGTATTCTGTATTTTTTTAAGAGAGAGAGAATTTTATCCTTTTTGTTAATAATCTTTCGTTAATATTAAAGTTCAAGCAAGTTGTCGAGCTATCATTGTTGACAGTTTACCACCATCTCAGCAAGAAGAAGGCACAGCCTGGGCTGGTAGAATGGTTGGAATTGGGAGTGTCGTAGGTTATTTTATGTAGGTGGCAATAGTACATATATCAGAATGGCTGAATTTGATTTCTTTATCTAACATGAATCATAATTATTATGCAGGGGGTTCGTTAATCTAGTCGATATATTCCCTTTCTTTGGTAAAACTCAATTACAAATCCTATGCGTTCTTGCATCTATAATTTTATTGGCTTCTGATGCATTAACATGTTGGGCTGTTAATGAAAGGATTAACACTGAAAGTACGAGAAAATCTACAAATGCTTTAAATACAGCTTATGAGACATTATATTCCATTATGAAATCTGTTCGTAATCTTCCAAAACCCGTTCAGCTAGTATGTAACGTTCAATTCTTTGCTTGGATTGGTTGGTTCCCGTTTTTATTTTATGCAACCACCTGGGTATCAGAAGTTCATTCTCGTTCCACCAGTGATTCACCCGAGAAATCTTCTGATGATTCGGTTGGAGACTCCACGCGTGTTGGTTCTTTTTCCTTATTATTATATTCGCTTGTGAGTTTATTAGCATCTTTCATCTTGCCATTTTTGGTCAGTCCCGCCGGAGCAAATGCTACTACTGCTAGGACAAAATTGTCATGGAAACAATTATTCCAACTTCCTTTTGCATTTCTGACAGTACCAAAATTATGGACAATTTCCCATTTCATTTTTGCATTTTCGATGTTAATAACCTGGTTTGTAACTAGTGATTTTCAAGCAAGTATCGTAATCAGTTTATGTGGAATTTCTTGGGCTATAATTATGTGGGCACCATTTTCAATTTTGGGAGAATATATTTCAAAAGAATCTGGAACTGCTGGTCGATGTAATTATGAAATTGAGGAGGAAAACAATCAATTAATGTATAATCTGGTTGAATCTGGAGTTGTTTTAGAGAGAGGTGATAATGAATCTGATGACGATGATGATGTAAAAACATCTAGAAGAACCTCAAATGAAGAAACGAGATCAGAACTACCATTTATAGATTCACATGGTGGTATTTCAACTAATGATTCATCAGAAGCGGGTGTATTATTAGGAATTCATAATATGTATATAGTATTACCTCAATTTTTAGTGACATTTTTTAGTAGTATAATATTTGCGATATTAGAACCCGGTGATGAGGGTGGGAATGATACAAACATCACAAGACAGCATCCACCACATCCACATCCACATCCACATGACAAGAAATTAAGTGCCGATTCTATTGGCTTTGTGTTAAGATTTGGGGGTTTTATGGCTATTTTCGCGGGTATCTTATCCATCAAATTATGGAAAAACAAATAATTCTTTCTAATTGAACATATACATATATATATATACATACATATATTTTTAGACAAATTTTATTTAAAAACGTTAGCCCATTGTATAATTTTACATATTTAGAAATAATTATATATTAACATCAAAACATTACATATCCTCGTGATTTACATGTATGAAAATAATGATGTTACATTGATTGTTTATATTTTTCCAAGAAAAGTTAGATTGGTCTTCATTTTCGTTCACTGAAAATTTTTTTGATTCGAAGAAAATACCCATATGATCGGGTCTTAATAATATGCAAGATTTTTTTTTCAATTGCTTATAATTGACCCTTATTTTTATAAATAATTTTCCGTTAAAATGTAAAAATATATGAAAATGAATTGAGATTATGAACCTTTCAAGTAATAAATAAAACAAGTAAGATTATACAATGTCCGGATTCGTTCCTGGGGAGTTACATATTGTAGATCAATAAAGGTTTTCAAGGGTTGTTGGCGTAATAAAAATTTAACAAATTTTTTTTTTCGATGCGTTTTTTTAAGATTTTAAACAATAATGAGTGGTTTTGTGGGCTATCTTTTGTGTTATTATCGAGAGAACTTAGCTCAGTCGTCAGATCCTTCTCAGTTGACTCAACCGCCGAATGATTTATTGTTCAAATTAGCAAACATATTATAATTATTAACTAACTTTATATTTAATATTTGTGAAATTATTCAATGAATTTTGGCCGGAATTAAAAACTGAAAATTGCCAGATTCCGGGATCCCTCCTTGTTATTAAATTTTATCAGGCTGTATAGTCCGGTTATCCCTGCCCGGTAAGATGTTAAATCAGTTATTACACCTTGAAGTGCGTTTATTTCGAAAGGATAATCCAATCAACCAAAGGAAGTTATTAATCATTTAATCAGCAATAAATTTACACAAGTAGGACGAGTATGGGTGGGAATAGTGAATGAGAGTCGTCAAGCAAATGTCAAATATTATTTGATTTTCCGATATTCAAATCTTTCATTACATACATGTTGGCTAATTTTTGTAACCATTTTTTTTAATCAACAGTCGCTTTTTGTCGAGTCGATCAAATTGTGAATGAATCGAGATTAGCCCTTCATATCCTTCATATCCTATATAGCCAAAACAGGAAATAATAATAATTAATTTAATTAATTTACCAAATATATCGACCATTTCATGCGAGGTCGGGTACAACCGATTTTCTTGATCTTTTGATGCGTACGTTAGATTTTACTTTGTGATCTCTCTTACTGTTAACTATACTTACTGTGTAATTCAAAAAAAATTTAAGGTAAAGGAAGTAAAGGAACGAAAATCTTTTTTTTTATTTTTTTCGAAAAAACTTTCCCAAAAGTCCATATGAAAGAATACATTTATGCGTGTTACAATTACAACGTTTGCAGTTGTTATTAAAAGTCGGTCGATTCGCGGTTGTGATTTCAATTTCGATGCAAAACGCAAACAAGATTTTGTTCGGCAGGTTGGAGAACCTAACAAAACCAGTGTATGAGATACGCATAAACTGTATGTGATTTATTTTATACAAGGACGAAGAATATTTAAGAAGATAAACTTTGTATAATGAATGCTAATGCATGCGGTAATTATCGTTTTACAAAACTATCATATTTTATTGGTTCGCGGAATTATGAAAGTTTTAATGACGAATAAAAGATCTAAATGCTGTGAAAAGTTATAAGGAAAAAAAAATTATTTTAGCTCAGAACATTCCTTGAAATTATGCGAATAACGAGCATTAAAATTTCCAACTTGTTTAACATATCATTAATTTTTCATTGGTGATATTAAATGGAGATGCAAAAAGGGTTAATTTGACGGTAAATCTTTACATATTTGTTTGTTACCATCTTTACACTCACTTCTCACAAGTTGTTTCCAAAGAAATGTTCTTTATATCGAATAAATTAGTAGTATAATAATAACTGAATTCAACAAAGGAAGGAAAATGTGAATAATTTGTTACCTTACGTTAGAAAGAAAACGTTTGAATTTCGATTAATTTGGAGATTTTTTTTTTTTTTTATTCCTAAGATATTGTGCTTTGTTCACCATATATATATATATATATTCTAAAAAGTACTTATGTCTTTCGTGAGGATGTTAATAGTCAGACGTTGTGAGACCTTATGCAGATATATATATTTTTTTTTCATCATTAATTGACGTTAATGGTCACTTAATTCCTTTTTTCGAAAGAATTTTCGGTTAAACAAAATTTATATTATTTTGTGGTCCACTTCTCAAATTGATACATAAAGGTTCGAATTGCTCTGGTTCAATCACACATTAACTCTCCTCTTCCTTTCCTCTCTCATCTCCTAATTATTTTTTTCCTTTCTTTCCCTACACAATTACCGTAAAATAAAAATAAATTGATTTTTTTTTTTTTATTTTCGGTATACCTTCTTTTTTTTATCCTCCTTCATCCATCATCACTCCCTTTATAACCATTTAGAAAAAAAAAAATTTGACCCTATTTATTTATTTTTTTTTTTTACTCATCTTTCCTTCAACCCCAATTAAAAAGAGACACTCTCTACAAAATGATGTATGTTAAATCAGCAACTTTAATTTCTTTTCTTATATCCGCTTTCATCGGTTCATCGACCGTTACAGCTCAATCTTTAGGAAAAGGATTCATTTTCAATTGCGACGATCCAGGTGTCGTGGCATTGACATTTGACGATGGTCCAGGACCTTACACAGATACTTTGCTAGAGTATCTCGATAAAGCAAACATTCCCGCCACATTCTTCGTTTTGGGAAGCGCGGCAAAAGCATACCCAGACGTATTGAAAAGGACCTTTGCGGCAAAACAGAATCATCAAATCGCTTTACACACCTATAGTCACGCTAATTTGACTAGTTTGGATGCCGCCTCACAAAAGAAGGAAATCCTTGATGCCGCTGATGCTGTCGCCAAAATTATTGGAAAGACCCCAACTTACATGAGGTGAGACATGTTATTCTGCCTTTAGTATTTTCTCCCTTGTTATTATAACTAACGCGAACTTCTTTGTATTATTTCCTATCAGACCACCTTATGGTGAATGTAGCGAAGGTTGTGGTAAAGTAATGGCAGAAAATGGATTCTCTGTTATCCAATGGAACGCAGATTCAAATGATTGGAGGTACAAAGCAAAGACCGTCGAAGAACGTAGGGCCATACCTTTACAAAATATCATGAATGAAGTGAAACCAAAAAGTCCAGCCAAAGATAATTTCATCGTTTTACAACACGACCCTGATGATATCAGTGTTGAGAACGTAGTAAAATTCATTCAATTATTCGATAAAGCTGGTTATAAATTTATCACGGTCGCCGATTGTTTGAAAAATAAGGTCACCCCTTATAAAGGTGTACCAGCCAAAACCGCTAAAGCTGTTGCCGCAAATGGAAAGTTTGCTGATTTCAAAGCTCCAGATGCCAAAACACCGGATGCTAAAGCAAAAGATCCAGTAGCAAAAGAACCAAAAGAACCACAAGCAAAATCCAAGAATGATGTTAAACCCAAGAAAGATGAAGAAAATAAAGCAGAAGCCAAGGGCGCTTTCCCAACACCGAACGATAATGTTGGCGCTGCTAAGGATGGTCCCGAAGCCAATTCTGCTTCAATAATTAAATCATCAGCACTCGTATCATTATTGAGTGGTGCCGTTGGTTTATTATATTTGTAAGAAAAAAAAAAAAAACATTGATTTAATTTAATTTTTTTTTATGTTTACTTGCCAATTAGATTTTTTTTTTTGCTTTTAATTAATTATACACAGATTTTTAAGAATAGACATTTTCTTGTATTTAAATTTTTTTTTGGGTGGAAATTGTTATCATCACATCATTAATCTCGTTTGTAACTTTACCTCTTTCGTTAAAAACCCACGCGAAAATTTTTTTGAGAGTTCAATTTTTTCACATGTATACTCATGTATACTATAATTAGTACATATTATTTAGTGCATTAATAACAAAAAGCATTTATTAAAACAAATGTACGACTAAATTAATTATTTTGTGTCAAATTGGTGTGTAACCTTGTGAACTTGTTACTTTAAAAATTTAATTTATATTGTTTTGCCACGTTAATTATGCGCACCTTTAACGTGAGCTTTAACGGTTACAAAACTTTGGGAGAATAAATATCACAAAAACAGCCCGTTTACTTAAAGAGTAAAAATATAACAATCATTTGCCTTTCATATTATTAAATTCTTTTTTTTTTTTTTTGTTTTTTGATTTTCTTCTATAAAATAAATGAAAATATGTATTTATATATACATACATATACGGAGATATTTGTACATACCGCAAAAATAATAAAAATAGGAAAAAAAATATGAGACAAAAAAAGGAATATATAAATCTCAAGGAAAAACAAAAAGCTATACATGTAAAGAGGGGGATGATTTAAAAGGAAGTTTACATGGGTTTTTTTTTTTTTTTTTTTTACAATTTTACATCTATTACACAAAATGAGTGAAACGAAAGAAACAAATAATGACATGACCAGAACAAAAGAATGTGAAATGTAATTTACTGTATGTAAGTAATAAACTAGCAAATCTATAAAAGAACGAAAGAAAAGAAAGAAAAAGCAAGTGCATTAATTTACTAGCTGTGTTTATAATAATAATATATACAAAATGAATGTGAAAATGAATTTAAAAGATTATTTGATAGCAAGCCAAAAATATCATGATAAATGTTTTACGTGTGTGAATCGAAGAAAATTCCTGTGCCTACTTCTATATTATGAAAAGGGAAAAAAAAAATTTTTTTTTATTAAGCGTACAACGGTCTTTCATACGCGACATTGAAGTTAGTAAATTAAAAAAATATTCGAGATATCAGGGAAGGGTGGAAAAAAAAATTTACTCACAACAATAATCTATCGCCCCATTTTTTAACCAAGAATCCCCAATATTTTGGATTTGACTTCAATTTTTGACACCCTAAAGATTCGTACAATTTTAATTGTTGACGAAATCCAAAATTCGGACTGTAATTTTTTTTCCCCAAAAACGCGTGAATATAAATATCCTTTTGAAACAAGAATTCAATAGAATGCGACGTGATAACTTACCAGGTTATAGGGCGTTTGGAAATAACGAATTCGAGGGCGGCTTCGAATGTCATTTTGCGAGCTTTCATAATATAAGCAATCATAACTAAAAAATCAAATCGAAAGAAACTAGTGAATAAATGCTTATGTTTGATAAACCAAACGCTTAATTAACTTTTTTACCTGTTGAGGACCGAGAAATTCCAGCTTGGCTACAAAAAGTAACGCAATTACTTAATAAATAAAAAAGGCTTGGAAAAATGCGAATCAATACATATTTATTCATTCATTTACCAGTGAATTAGGATATTTCCTTTTTCTTCTTGTAAAGCCGAATGAATAAATTTATGTGTATTTTCAAAGTGAACAATTATATTTTGAGAGCCAAAATCACGAATGGGGATTACTTTATATGTATAAGACTTTTAAAAGGTTATATTAGAAAAAAGAAAGTTCTTTTTTTTTAAAAAAAAAAAAAAAAAATTGTCGCTAATTTATAAATACCTCTGGATGAGCTGGGGTAATTCCGTCAGAAACGGTAAGGATATGGGTAATATTATGATCTTCTAACCAAGCCTTATCAGTAGCTGCCATTTGACTACAATAAATCAATCTTACTTTAATATTATTTCTTCTTATTTTATTACTAATGAACTTATTTTTACATGATTTACTAAACTTACGTTCCCAAATAAACTCTAGGAAAAATTTCGGAGGCAAACATCTTTTCCAAATAAGCATTTTGATGCTCGTTCATTTGAAAATTTTCATTTTTCCAAGAAGCAACGACACTCCAGCCAGATAAATTTATCAAATTATCTTGTGGTTGTTGACACGATGAAGAAACGGGAGTTGCTTCTTGATCCGGATTGGAGGAAGATTCTTTGTTGGTTGTTAAAGGAGTTGAAGTGATTAAAGTTGTATCTGTCAACGTTAAAGGATGATGGATGTTTGATGAGGTGGAAGTAGGAATATTGGATGTCTCGGAAGCGTTTATTAGGTTGGTAGTGGAATCAAATGGGGTATTGGATTCACATTCAATCGCAACATGACTTGAAATGATTTCTTGGGAATGCATTTTGATATAAATACTTTATTTATTTTTTAAAAAAAAAAAAAAAAGAAAAAAAAAGCTCAATGAAAGATAGGCAAATCGATAAATTATAAACCACTTAATTCTCAAAGGAAAAAAAGGGGGGGAGGCTTCTTTCAGCACTAATACTTCTTACTTTAAACTAAAAAGCAAGAAAAAAACCCTCTAAAAAAACTTGTGAGAATCAATAATAAATTTCCTTGAATGGGTTATTATTTTTATTATTTTTTTTTATTTATTTTTATACGTTCACAAAACTGCTTATTAAGTAAGGAATTCTTGTAAAACACCAGTCCTTTTTTAAAAAAATTTTAAAAAATAAAAATAAAAAAAAAACAAATACTATGAAAATCCTTTCTTGTTGACTCCTATATAATGAGTCGAATACTTTTAATATGGGACAACACGTGGGTTATATGATTTAATTTTATTTCGCCGATCTATTACCAAATCCATTGAATGAATTATGCAACGTGATATAAAGAAAAATACAATAAAAATAAATTTATCCTTACACATCAAAAAGTTCTTTGTCTTTAAACATTTTCACTAGCAAAATCTTGTTATAAATCTTGTTTCTTGATTGGAGTTACATGTTATACAAAAACATATTTGTTTTCATCTTTTTTTTTAACCTACCAGATTATTTGACTTTTAGTGAAACTGCTAACTCATCTTAGTGGAAACCAATGCAACGTGTACTTGATTTATATTTATAAATAAATGCGTTGTGAGTAATCCGTGATACCTATGACACGTATTTTACTTTGTCCATTTGCATGATAATGTGTTGACCAATCATGTGTCAGAGCTTGTCAAACGAAGGAACCAGACGGTTCGTGGCGCAGAATTTCATGGACAGACTCGGTAAAACACAAAAAAAAAATGCGCTAAAGACGAATTGAATTATAACAGTTTTAAATAATCACGCCATAGAATTCCAAAAACGTACATGATGATCTATGCAAGGAAAAAAATAATTTCTATTATTTCTGATCTTTATTTGTATTACAAATCTTTTTAAAGATTTTTCCGTACCCAGTCTATTTATTAATTTTAATTTTTTTTACTTCTAAAATTACATTAAAGATTTTGTTTAAGAAAGTTCCCAATGTTAAATTGTATAATATGATTAAAAAAAAAAATGAAAATGAAAATGCTTATGTGATTGAAAAAAAAATGATACATCGCTAAAAAGTTAGGGATTTAGCAATGAATACATTTTGAATGCGATAAGAGTAAAAGTTATTTTATGGCTTAGATGCTTATATGATTTTTGATGAGTGAAAAAATTATTTTGTGGGAATTTTCTAAAACTAGTCTAAAGAATATTTTTTTTTTTAATATTTTGTACAAAAATTCTATCAGTCTATGTTGTGTGTATGTTACAAAAAAAAATAATTGATTGAAAAATGCAAGTTAAAAAAAAGTGTGAAAAAATGCAAAAGAAAAAAATAAAAAAAGTGCAATGAAATGTTTAGTTTCCATTGATTTTTGAAGAGGTGGTTTTGATTAATTGTTTATACTTTTGTTTTAAACCAGCCCCAAATCTTTGTTTTGCACGATATTTACTGGTCATTGAACGAGTAATACCGCGGAAGCTAACCCCAGAAGAATAATCGGAATCTTGACTTTCGCTATCCTCGCTTGACATTCTTAATTCGGTATTAGCGGCCTCCGTCAAAAATTGAGTGAAACTGCTTGTTTGCATCAACTCGAGTACTTGATGGGTGACAGGATCAAGTATGGAAGGGTGATAATTATTATATTGAAAAACGTTTGTCATCAGGTCATCCCTTGTCGTCGAGACAATATTGATCTCTCTTGGAGCATTTGGCAAGATAAATTTGGTGATCAACTCGTGAAGTTTTTGCTTGAGAAAATCTAAATGAGCTGGAGTATCGCCGCGTAATGAGGCGTCATCAAAATAATAATTATCGGATGTAATTTCAACATTTTCCGACATTAAAAGTACAGGAGTTGCGGTGGAATTTGAATTAAAATAATTGTTGGCGTGATATCGATATCTTTTCACTGCCAACCAAAATTCCAAATTCTCCAAACAATAAGTTTGATCCAAGAAGGTTGCAAAATCATCTAATGAATATGGATAAGATGTTTCATTGTTGAGTACGTCTACAATATTTGGTTTTGTGGAATTGTTCGCCAGCGAATTCATGTTTGTTTTGGTTTTTTTTTTTTTTTAAAAAATAATTATATATATTGAATGAAATATGATTTTCTACAAAAGTTGTTTATTATTATTATTATTATTATTATTATTATTGATATTTAATTGTATTTAAAACGATTGTAGAAAGTTGGTTATCCTTTCGATTTTTATTTTTTTAAAATGTTGAAGTTAGAGATTGAGTTTGAGCCGTATATTTATAGTATTTCTGAAAAGGGGTAATTATTATTGTGTAAATGGTGATTTACATCATACCATACCTAATAACGTGTTTAATGTGCTACGAATGAAACAAAGATGGACAAATTTAATGCAGAGTTACGACAAAGGAACAATACAAACAACAAATTTCTTTTTTTCACATTCTGTTCAAGTGAAAACAAAGAAACACTCCTTTTTACCGTCGATTACACAAGCTTATAAATATCTTTTTATTACAAACAAATTTTTTCTTCTTGCCTATTATTGGTATACCTTTTACTTATAGAAAGTCTGTTATAGCAGAACAAAAATTGTAGATTGGACCCTTCTTTCATTTATCAATAATGAAAATTTTCATACCGAAATATATATTTAAAAAATAACAAAGGGATGATTCGGAAAGTATTGTTCTTTTTCATTACGGGGACGATGCCTTAATTATCGGATATGTGTTTGTGTAACGAATCGATGTTTAAAAATAAGTACATTTGTAATTGTGCTTCCTATATATGTATTTTGATTTAATTAAATTACTATATCTGTCCCTTCCTATCTCGGTACAGCATTCTACGACAACAGAATGTGGCAGTACATTGCCGGACAAAAAAAAAAAAAAAAAAAGAATGTTCGATTAATTTAGCCATTTCAGTTCGTTTAATCCGGTTTCATTCATGATAAAAACTTTTACCATGTTAAAAACTTTAATCTGGTGATTTATTTTATTTTGATTTTTTTTTTTTACCGGAAATTCCCGGCCAGTGGAGTCATCTCATGTCATTTTGGCTATAATTTTCTATAAATTTCATTGAAAGATTTTATTACTTGACAAGTTCGGTATTAATCTACAAACTTTAGTTGTCTATAAAATGTGTCACAAGTATAAAACAACTTTATCTTAAAATTTATATACAAAAGTGTAATAGGATTTGGAAAGGGGATGTATCTAGTTCCGAAATATTTATGTCAGAATTTAAGATATAAATAATGCAAGGAGGGAAATAAATAAAACTTTAGGAGGAAGGGATGAGAAAATGATTCAATCTGTTTTTTTTTATATACTGTATATATATATATATATTTCTATAATAAAGTCCATATTCTTTAAAAATAAATTAAATCAAAAGGTCATCAAAGATTTACTACGCGCAATTCCTGTTTTGAAGCCACTACAATGCTTTCACCACTCACACTTTGTATATCTTCGACAGATTCAAAGCTAGATTTTGACATATCATAAGCGTTAACACCGCTAGTCCCGCTGGTTCCGGCATGATTTTCAATGTCGTTGAATTGCTGTAAATAATTTTCTGGATCTGGATCATAATGATATAACGTATCGGTATTATTGCTAAATCTAACTTGTTTCCCAGATATTATTATACCACAATCGGAATGTGACGGCGTATGTGTACCGCGTGAAGCTGGTGTTGATGGAACCGTCGAATTCGCTGGTGACGTTGGATTATTTAACATTTCCGCCGAATCATGCTTCTTGCTATCCTTTCTAACCAAAGAGAGGAATGATGGACGACGGGACCTTTTAATACGTGCCATTTCTGGAGGGATGGTAATTGGATTTGCGTTATATGGAACGGCCACCAAATTAACTCCTCTATCACTTCTGCGCTTATTAATAATCTTATGAATGATATATGCTAGCACGGCAACGAATAAAAAGCCCCCTATTACTGATAAGGTTATGATAACAGGTAAACAACCCAACCAATGTCGATCTTTCGGTTGATCCTTCTTATGATCTGGATTCGTTGTATTCTTCATTTGAGTGAAATCGTCATCATCCAAAGGTAGGTCCATCGGAACATAATCGATGAGCCAATTCCAACTTAAAACATTTAAAATATAAATATTTGACTCGGCATCAGCACCGATTCTACCGAATGCAACGATCATGTTGGCACCCACGAGGGTCGCGGTGTGATCTCTTCGATTTGGTGGACTATTAGTTGTGACGGGAGACGTCCACGTCCATGTTCTCGTATCTAAAACCGCCACATCCCCGTATAAAACCGTATTCGTTATATCCGATCCACCGTAAATTATAATCTTCCTGTTTGATACAACGGCGGAATGTTGCCCTCTTGAAACTGGGATTTGTCCCTTCCCAATATTCTTCTCCCAAGTACCTTTCTCCAAATCAAATGCATAAATTTCATTCATGTCATGTAGAATTCCATCTTTGGCCCCTCCAATCACGATCATTTTATTATCGATTATTGATGAAGTGTGAAGTATCCTTGACCCGGGTGAATTGTTTAATAAGGGATATGCTTTCCATGAATCTAATGTATTTACATTTAATCCCCATAATTTTGACGTTATGTTTCTAGTTGGGCTTCCTGTCAATCCATCGATCAGCCCGCCATAAATCCACATCATCCCTGATGGACTGATTGACGCGGAATGTTCATATCTTCTGCTTGGACCTCCTTGTGGTAAGTTTGGATCAGTCCATTTGCCATTGGTCGTATCATACGTCCATAAATTACTCATGACAGCGCTAGCCGGGTCATCTACGCCACCACCAAATATTATGATTTGATCATTACTTAACCCTCCATTTACTGCCGAATGTCCTATGGTTTTTGGTGCTCCCGTGCTATCTAATTCAATCCATCCCGGGTTTAAGGTCGAGAATGGTTTTGATACGTCTAACGTTATGAGCTCCGTTATGAAAACATTTCCATCCGTTCTGCCCCCAATGTAATATATGTTGGAATTTACTAACGTGGCCGAATGTCCCCATCTTACTACTATCTTGGATGTGATTACCGGAAATCCCAATGTGGGATTTATGAAATCGGATATTATTATGGTCGTCGTAAAGATCAACTTTATTAATCTTTTCATCATATTTTTTTTCGGTATTTCGGTTTATTAATGTTGTTAATTTATCTATCAAAATCGTTTCGATTATATGTGGTAAATGATAGATTTAAAAGCGAGAGGATTTGGAAGAGGGAAAAATCAAAATGGTAGGTATAAGGTGTCGGGTAAAAATAAACCGAAACGTTTTTTTTTCGTCGATCCTCACCCTTGTGTTGGTGAAGTGTCCCCCCCAAAAAAAGAAAGACAATGAAAAAAAAAAAAAACAAAAAAGGAATGAAAATTGTCTTAAAAAAGACAAAGAGGGAGAAGGATAAGAAAAAGAGGGAAATTTAAGGGCGTGGAAAAATATAAGAAGACAAAAATAAATGTTCATGCTTTTTTTTTCATTAGAAATAATGAATATTTATACATGCATATTAATTTAACAATATGCGCGTTAATTAATAAATATTGACTTTTTTGTGTAATCAACATCTCTTTATTTGTCACTCTAGAAGAAATAAAAGAATAAAACATTTTACCTCCAAGTTTCTTAATATATATAAAAAGTAATTTTAAATGGATTAAAATATAAACAAAAGGTGAATAATCCGGTTTGACTTTTAAAAATGACCTTACATATTTCGAATTAATTAAGTAATTTATACCATACTAAAAGTCATGATTACGATTGATTCACGTACATCAATCACTTTGTCCCCTCGAGACTTACTTTTTTGGGGAAGTTTTAATTTATTCTTGGACCATTAATATATTGTGTTATATTTGGATGCATCTCCATTGTGCATTTGATGCTTCCACGTTTTTTCCTTTTGAAAAAAATAAGACGTCAATTTTTTTAAAAATACAAAATTAATTCCCCAGGTAAACTGTGCGGATTGTCATTTAATTAACATCATGATGATTTATAATAATAAATCTGATCAACAAATTTGATATCGATGGTCGTATGTGTTTATCTCGTTTTTTTTTAAAAAAATTTTTTTCTTTTTGGTTGCATTTTATGTGATCGTATCCTTTCCATTTATGTATTAGCTGAAAGATATCTTTGCTTTCCCCAAGTTTTGTTATTTTTATTATTTATCGTTATTATTGTCAACAGAAGAATTGTCAAGATTCCATTTTTGAAAGGTCAAATGTTTTCAACATTTACATTTTTTTTTTTTTGTTTTTTTTTTGTATTAAAAAATTAACCAGCGATAAAAGAAAGGTTCATCAACGCTGGTTAATAAGTTTTGACATCAGAATTTAAAGGACTTTTTTTTATTTTTTTTTTTCCTCTCTTTTTTTCTAAAGTACAAAACGACGTTCATACAAAATTTTTGAGTAACATATTTTACATATTACATGTCATGTTTACCTAACACCACCGGGATCGAATACAGCAAAGATAATCGCTGGTTAGCTATTCCTAATCGGGAACATCTATCTTTCTTTGAATTCATTGGTGGATTAAGCAAAAGTCCACAAATAGGTTGATCGATTAAAACAATTATTATTTAATCCATGCATTTATATTCTATTTTATTTATTATATATTTATTTTTATTTTTATTTTAATTTTTTGTTGTATATTTTGACCCTCATCATTTTACTTAAAACCTGATAGGAAATCATTTTTAATACTATGCGGACAAATGAAAGTAATAAATGGTTTCATTGGTCCCGGTTAAAAAAAAAAAAAATCTTTATGTGCCAAATCGGTTTTATCGCGAATCATTTTATATGATTTAACACTGGTCACAGATTTCTTGTGATATATTTTCAAACGTTAAAAAATCAAATTGGACTAAATTTATTTTGGTAACAAATGAATAAAAATGGCAGAATGGTAAATATATTTAGATATCTTATCCTGAAACCAGTCTTAACCTAAACGAGATCAACCTAAACCCCGTTGGAAATTGCTTCCTTCTTGTAAAAATCTTTCTTCGTCACAATTGAACTTAATATAGTAATTTGGCAAGAACCTCAAAAATTTTAAATCTAAATTTTTAGATGGATGTCCATTGTTCAAATTTTGAGTTCTTTGTCAAATCGAATGATTTTTTTTTTAAATAGAAAAAAAGAGATCAATTATGAAAATATGGTTAGCATTTTTACACTGAACACATGTATCATGAAAATATTTCCGATAACTTAACGCAAAAAGGAAAAACCTCTTTTTTTTCCTTAAAATAAAATCCAAATAAATGGAAGTCGGGGATGGATAATTTAATTACCTAAGCGTGTTTTTCAAGTTAATATTATTGGTCAATTAGTTGTCCCAACACCCTTTTTAAAGAATTACTCTTTTCCATCATAACATACGTAATTGTTGACGTAAATTTAGCAATTTACCCGGGCGTGAATTAATACAAGAATCACGCGTCAGAACGGTATTAAAGATAAATATATTGTCCCCAACATTTCTGTACCTTTTTATGCATGTAACTTATTTTTTCACGGTTTCTCATCAGGAATTTTGGTATTACAAGAAAATAAGAAAAAAAAAGTGTTCAGTATCATACCTGCGTGAGAAATTTTTAAAATGGACATATAAATTCATGTAAAAATCACGCTGGTTTACAGAAGGGATAAAAAAAAAAATTTAATCCAGCCAAAAAAAAAAAAAAAAAAATCCATTCTTCGACAATCCTTCTTTTTTTTTTTTTTTTTTTTTTTTTGGTTTTCAGTGGTTAAATTATAACTGTTTTATACTGTAAGAGATAAACCTCCCATGAAGCTATTTTATGCTTATAAATCTTTTTGTTTGTCAATATTGTCAATAAAAGTTATTGTTTTTGTTAGACTAAAACCTAACGGAAAAACCTTTGCTCTTTTTAATAGGGATATTCGAACTAAACGGACCCCACCGTTCCTTCACATTACCCTATTCCCGTTCATATAAAACACACCAATCTTTTTCAGTTTGAAGTCTAACTTTCCTTTTTAATATATATATCCATATATATATTTATCTATTTATTTATATATACGAAACAAAGGAATTTCTTTCAATGGGAAATTTCAATTCGAATAATGGACTACGTTTCCCTGTATTTAAAGTTAGAAAAGGTAGCAAGAATAATAACGACCTGGTTCCTAACGAAATCGATTTCAATGAAGAAGCCAATTTCACATGGCTACGTGATCGTCGCGTTTTGGACGAAACGATTTACCTTCTTGAAAGATATAGTGAAGAGGTAAAGGATAAAATGGATTGAGCTCAATTAAACGAAATAAAAAGAATCGAAGTTTCTAATAAAGTTTTGCATATTTAATCCCTTTGTCTTATATATAAACTTTGAAATAAAGTCGAATAATATAGCCTTACTGGTATGTATGATCATGCCTATTGTTTGAATATGATATATGCATGTATGGCCACTAAGAAAAATAAACATAAAAAAAAAAACTTTAGTTGCATCAGATTTATAAGTATATCCTGAGAGGAAACACGAGAACACCTATGACTCCTGGAATGCAGGTAACTGTCATATTTCAATCGGTCTGTTGTTACACGATTCACACTAATTTGGATCTATACAATTTTCCTAATTTATCTTTTATGAAAGAACTGTTTGCATCTCGGGTAAGTTAATTAACCAGAGATAAAGTGAATGCATGAATGTATAAATGAATGAGTGAATGAGTGAATGAATACTTATATTAACTATTATTAATAGCATGGGACACTTCATTTGGTTGGTTGAGATGGCCAAGTAAGAATGATTTCTATCAATCATTTTTTTTTTTTTTTTTTTTTAAAAAAGAAAGGATTTAAAATTTTCCCATGCGCATTTGCAATAATATCAGTGAGCATCAAGGTGTCCAATTTGAAGGATTTGATATTTCGATTAACCCCAATGAATTGACAGAGCTGCCACCAAACGTGAATTTACGTTCAGGAGATCTCCTCAGTAAGTAAATCGGTCGCAGATCGCAAGGTAATTGATTAGCAATACATCTTTAACTAAAATGAATCTCATTGATTAAAAAAGGGAGACTTCCCTATCCGAATGCAAGTTTCGATTACGTAAACGGTAAGTCATTTATTGTTTGATATATATATATATCTTTTTCGTGTGAGCGCTCATACATACAAATATAACACTTATTTTTTTTTGAATTTTATTTATTAGTCAGATGCCTTTTAACCGTGTTACCAAGCGAGCAGATCCCTTTTGCGCTTTCCGAAATCATTCGAGTTAGCAGAACGAATGCTCGCATTGAATTTTTGGTAATTTATTGTATAACATACTTTTTTAAAGATATATATATTATTTTCCTCATTAATAAATTATTATTTTTCAACTTTTTAGGAAATGGACATATTTATAAAGTAAGTTCATGAGTACAAGTTGGCCTATTTGGTCGAAAAAGTGCTAATCCTACCATTTGTATTAAAAAGAAATACAGGTCCATATTATGAAAATTGTTTAGGGAAAATCTGGCGCCAAATTTGTAAAGAGAAGAATTACAATCAATTCAATTCAACTCATTTGAAAAATCTTTTGGCGAAACGAGGGTTACTTGATGTAAATTGTTCAAAATTATCCATACCCATTGGCAAGTATGGAGAAAGGGTAAATAAGAATAACATATCATCATTTATATCATTGTTTTATTATTTTTTTCTTTAATTTTTAAAAAACTTAAAAATTATATATTTATAATATTAGGTTGGTGATATGTATGCAAAACATTTCATCTATTCATCAACTGCCATTGCAGCCCATTTAGAGATGTCACACGATAAGATGCAGGATTATCTTCTTAAGTGCGTGGAAGAATTTAATCAAAATCATTCTTTCACCAATATTTACCTACTTTGTGCTAGAAAAGGTTAAAAATAATAATGATAATCATAATAATAATGTAATTCGAGCACAAAAAAGAAAATATAATATAATATATATATATATATATAAAATAATAATATTAATATTAATATTAATAATTCAATTACCAAAAAAAAAAAAAAAAAAAAAAAAAAAAATATTAAATATCACAATATCAATATATATATATATATATGTTATAATTGTTTTTAAATTTAAAAAAATATAAAATATATGTGTATATATATTTTAGCAAAAAAAAAAAAGAAAAAAAAAATTAAGAATTAATAATATATGATATATAAGCGGACACATTTTTATGTATTGTATGGATAGCAAAAAAAAAAAAGGTTTTTTTTTTTAAATCTTATTGCTTTCCTTTATGAAATAAATTTAATTTCTTTCCGAGTGGATAGATAACTCGGGAATTTATTAATCATACGTCTATTTGTTGAATATACCGTGAACCAATATGTATTATATAAGTTTGACAACTTTTTGTGCAATAAGTTTTTACGTCAATATTGAACAATGGCTGCAACGGAAACCTTGTCTCAAAAAGAATAACGTTGTCTAGTTATGAAGTAATTCATTTTGTCATTTCTGTATATATCTTAAATGGTTTCTTTGGACATTTTAACCAGATTTTGAAATCAACATTTATAATAAAACCGAATTCTGTGATTTTTGCTTTAATTTTTTAACATGAGAACGAGGTCTTAAATTTCTACTTTAATAGGCAAACGTCCCAAATGATTTGTCTTAATATGTGCGTGTGTGTATCCAAAACATGAGTAAAGAATAAAATAAATAAAAGGCCTGTTCATTTCTAGATCGACCGAAAATTGAGCCCTTAAATGATTGGTATCAGGTCGCGATCAAGTCGATTTTACAATTAGACGAAGACGATGTCTAACTCAAAGTCCTCATTACGTCCAATTGCTCCTAAACCACAAGAATTTTTGGCACAAAATATAGCTGTGCCAACCTTTACTTCTAACTTATCACAACTGTCAGTGCTTGGATTTTACAGCGCGATATATTCGTGTTTTAAATATCTTGTACTTAATCTTCTTAATAAAGTAGCTTGTATAATAATGTTGTCTTTTTCACTTGAAATTTTTTTATTTTCAAGTTCAAGTTCGTTGTGATAACAAAAAACTTATGTTCAATTGTAACTTTGATACGATTGGTAATGAACGGCCTTTAGATCGGCAAACATATCAACCAATAAGATATCGCGTAGCCAAGTGGGAAAAAAATTTGATAAAACCTATTTTGACTTGATTGGAATAAAACTTGGAAATGAAATTATTATTCTGCAAAACATGGGTATTATAACAATTATCATTTCCTATCATAAAATTCATGATGTCATATATAATTATCAGATTTTCTCACAATGATGTTATTACCTAAACAATTTGTATATTCCGGTTATATTTGATAAGAAAAAAGAAATCCCACTCCATGCTGCAGGTGTGACCATTATGTAATTTTCAATGATGATTTCGTTTATCTACGTTAAGGTTCAATGACTTCCAAATTGGTTTAGAACATGCGCCACATCCTGTTTTTCTTTTTTTCTCGTCCTTTATTTAAAAAAATATATTTCATAATTCATTGAGTAGACAAAGCTAATCTTTATTAAATTCCAAAGTCCTCAATAGGATTAGCGGTTATTATCATTAGAGAAGGAAGGTTATTCAAGATAATGAAGAAAAGAGGTTGAGAAAATATTTATTACGATTTTAAACGATATGTGTGAACCTTATTATTTTTTTTAAAAAAAAGTTGTGTACCAATTTTACTACCATTACCTGCTTTTTGGAAAGCACGTGTTTGTCAATATTTATGTATTACGTGACATAAACTTTGTTAAATATTTACTTTGGCTGGCTTAACATTAAATTCAAACGCGATTCGTTTTTATTATAAAAAAAAGAACAAAAAAACCTTCCTCAAATTTCCTCCCTTTTTACAAACGTCCCACATTCAATTATGCACATATAAAGCGGATAAGGATTATTATGTGAGTTGACAGTAATGTGTATATTGTAGAACCAATTTAAAGGTTTTTGAAATATCGAACCACATCCCCCCGTTCCACGGAAATTAAAAACTTGCATATTGATTGGTTGGGAGCTTGTTTTGATGTGGTGTCGTGTTACCTGCAAATCTAATCTAACGAAAACCAAAAGTCCTTAGCCCTCCTAATTAAATAACCCAATTGCTCCGATATTTTCCTTCCTTCTTTACAGATTTCCTTGGCAAAAAAAAAATATTTGAAATTTACAAAAAGAACCCAATTCAATCTTAACAATGTTTAAACATTGGTGTTGTACTACATAGTAAAAATGTCACTAGAAATTAATCTTGAATAACGTTACATGAAACGAAAATCTTTGAAAGGTAAAAAAAAACCAAGAAAATTGCAAAGAAAATCGTCATTTGAGTAACGGATGGGTTATTTGAGAAGTGTATTGCGAAAATTTCAACTTATGTAATCATTAAATTAAGAAAATTTCACCTTTAATGCTCGATTTGATAGTAATATTCTATTTTCAAATCGAAACTAGCATCTTTTATTGAAAGATCAGTTGAAACCATCGGGAAAACATAAAAACGCGATCTGAATCCTGTAAGCAAGTCTCTACCAAGAATAGTTGAATGCGGTCTAACCTTATTTTTATTAAGTACAAGGAAACAAACTTTTTATCAAAATATATCATTGGTTTTCTTTATTTACCTAAGAAAACCTTATTTTTTTTTTGTGCAAATAAACCAATTAGGTAAATTTAAATAATTTAAATTCAAACATTAAAAACCCATGCCTCTTTTTTTTATTTTAAAAAAAAAAAAAATTCGCACTTGTGATCATATAATTAATTTTATAATTTTTAAAACCACCAATATTTATTTTAGAAAATCTAAATACCCTGCAAAACATTGTAATTAAACACTATTATTGTATTGTAAACAGAATATATGAAATAGGTTAGCATTCATCAAAAGTACATTGATAAACTTCTCTCTAACCAAATTTCACAATTTTGCGTAATTTTGAGGCTTACATTTTACTTGCTTTTAATTGCATGTTTATTTGCGCATTCTGTGATACATATTCGGAGTATGTTTAATTTACTTTAATATTTATTCTATTTTCATTATTTTTTTTGTTCTTGTTCTCTTAAAAAAAAAATAAAAAAAAAAAAAATAAATAATAAATAAAAAATAAAAAAATAAAAAAAAAAATAAAAAAAAGTATTTAAATATTCTTGAATCTTTTTCACTTTTTATTTTTATTTTTATTTTTTTTTTATATTTAATAAAGATGGGAATAAATGGTTCATCGCTTGCGACCAATGATATGACCGATGCCGAGAAAGACGTCTTATATTCACGGCATCATATTACAAGAGAACTTTTTAAAGGGAATTTTTCTTCTCCTGTACAAGATGTTCTTAATACAGGGTGGAGAGCAAGAGTTCTTCACGTAAAGTTAGTAATAAAATTTTATAATCGAAAAGGTTTTTTTCTTTTTTTGCTTTTTGCTTATTGATATACATAAACCTGATAATTTTTTTTTGTAATATAAAGTTCGACATTAGGAACATGGCTAGCTGAAATGAGTGCGGATTTTCCCGGATGTACATATATCGGGGTGACTCCCACAACTTCTACTTCTCTTGAAAATGGACGACCTTTTGATGTTGATTTCGTTGAAGCAAAAATTCATGAAGGACTTCCATATAATGATAATACATTCGATTTTATTTTTATGAGGTTTTGCGCGTGGGACTTTACTGAAGATGAATGGGAAAAGGTCGTAATAAAGGAACTGGTCAGGTGTTTGAAGCCTGGTGGATGGATTGAGGTACGTTAAATTTTTTGCGTTGAAGTTCTCTCAATGTTGAAAACCATTACTAAAGTAGTCTTAATTTCTTTTTCGCCTGCATAGTTCATGGATTTCGACATGAACTTTCAGAATCAAGGACCAACGTCGATCAGAATGCTTAATGGTAGTAAGTACATAGAATATCATCGTAAAATTAAAGATTTAAAAAAAAATTCAAATAAATTTATTGTAATTTTTTAGTATACGATTTACAACATATGAAAAATCGGATTAGAAGGCTAACTGATATATGGGAAGAATTTTTAATGGCAACAAATCAAATTCAAAATGTTCGAAATCGATCGGAATATTTACCAATTGGCCGACATGGTGGAAGACTTGGCGAAGCTGCTTCACAGTTTTTTCACGATTTTATTATTAATCATTTACCACGTTATGCAAGGATTATGGGAATTAGAACTCGAGACATTCCAAATATTGCTAATACATATTGCGAGGAAGCAAATACATGTAGAACTATGGCTCCAATTGTTCGCGTTTTTGGACAAAAAAAATTATAAACTAATTATTATTAAAAATAAAAAATTTAAATGGATGAAAAAAAGTAAAAGTTATGGTAATTTTTTTTTTTAATAGTTAAACTAAAATTTTTTCCATTATCATTATTACAATGACATATCGGAAGTTTATTGTCTAATTCGCATTACCCTTTTTTTTGATTGTTTGTAGACTAAACCCTTTTTCATATATAGCGGCGCACGTACATTTCACATAACTTGTTATTTTTGCAAATTTTTTTTTTGTTCGAATAAAAGTGTCAAAATTTTATATCAATGTAGTACTCATGCACTTGCAGTCTGATCGAGCGCTTGCAGTATTTGTGTAAAGGGAAAATGTATCCTTGCCTATATTTGGAATTTGATGCAGAAGGATAAAGCAAGGCTGAACATGAGCTGACATATAATCAAATAGAATATTCATCAATTTTCCAATGAATCCGGGTTATATGGTTCCCAATTGTATCATTTCTTTAAAGTTCGTGATGGTTTATCATCCAGTAGGCTGGATTACCGAATTTCGTTTATATAGATCTCGTAAGATCATACAAGATTTACACTATTTATTATGAAAAAAAAGAACTATACTATACATACATTCGGAACCATATCATGCGGATTTTTTTCATATTCCTTAAATGATGATTCTTGTTACATAGGATATATTTGTATATATACCCTGCTTTTTCAGCAAAAATTTTTTGTCTTTACTTTTTATTGTCACTTTTTCTTGCAAACACTTTCGTTTATTTTGTTTCCTTGTACCTTCTCTCTCTCCTTCGCGAACAATTTTTTTTTTCGTTAGCACCTTCTGTTTTTATTACAAATCATTCTCACTTTATTTTTATTTGTTTCCTTACGTGTTTTATTGTATAATGACCCTCATTTTAGCCTGGTTGAAAGTTAAATATACAGTACGTGGTCGACTTGCCAATTGGAGTGTTGGTGGCACCGATCCAATGGTCAAAATGAGCTTACTCGTACTCATTTTCCATACATTCATTCTCACTTGACGGACGTTATTATTTATTTTTATTATTATTATTATTATTATTATTTGTTAACTTTATAACGAAAACGTTACTATTATGTAACCATGAGCAGCTCCTTTTTTTTTTTAAAAAAAAACAAATTGTCCGATTAGGGCTTGTGATCGACTCGGAGTATATTACAGTTTATATGATGACATTATGACACCATACCATATATGTATGGCATGTATGGTATGTCCATACTATACCATACTCTTATTTCGCCACCTGAGACGCTATGTGGCAAAAATAGGTCGTCGCCTCCCAAATTTGTAAATGAACTTTGATTTAGAAAAGAAGGTTAAAAATTTTATTATAAATTGAGGAATTTTCCAAACGCAAGACCCAAAATTGTAGAAAATTTTTTTTTTTAAAAAAAAAAAAAAAAAAAGAAAAGAAAGCATAATCATGAATAAATTCTTTACTATCACATTCCTCTTTTTCCTTTTCACTTCAACGTTTGCATTCCCTTTCGCTTCTTCTCCCAATCTGGTCTCTCGTCAAATGGACGAATTCCAATTATGTGAAGACCAAAAATATTTGGTAGAAATTACAACATTGTTCTTTACCCCTAACCCAATAGTTCCTGGACAAGCTATAATAGTTAACTTAACAGGAATAGCACAAGTTCCGATAGAACAATATGCAAAGATAAAAGTTCAGCCAATTGTTTTTGGTTTCCCGGTTTTCACTTATGAAAACGATTTTTGTAAAGAAGTAAATGCAAATGCATGTCCGATTCCAGTTGGTAGTTTCAATTCTATATTTACGATTCCTAACACTGTAACGAAAAATCTTAAAAATTCAAAGGAGTACCGAACGAGAATTACTCGTAAGTGTGAAGTCTAAATAATGAAATTATGATTTCGGTACTGGTGCTAATTTGTTTTTATGAATTCTATAGTGATTAATCCAGACGTTACATACGATACAGACGATACGGAGTTATTTTGTTTAGAAGGTATAATTAAAATTGCTGATGAATCTGCTGCACCGGATCCGAATCCGATGAAATAAATAATGGGACATAAATATTATATAATAATAATATTTTCAATTAAATTTATCACAAAACATATTAAATTTATTAAATTTATATTGTATTTATTCATTTAATTTACTATAATATTATTTGTGAAGAAATTAAAAGAATCATAAAAATATTTTAAACTAGAAAGATAAATTTTACAAAATGATGAACAGTATGTTATATTTCTACAAAATTTTGATGTTATAATAATTATTTAAGTAAACGTTTTACATAAGTAGTTGTAATTTTGTATAAATTTAATTGTAAAATTACACATTTTAATTTCCTAATCTACGTATAAAAATAAAAAAAAATTTTTTTTAGACCAGTTGCCTGACGCACAACATAATAAATGTTCCCACTAATTTATTACAGGTCGACACAGAAAATAATTTAATTGTAAAAAATACGATCTAAATCAATAAAAAAAATTTTTTTAAATCAAATCTTTCAATTTTAAAAATGCCAGCTTACAACGAAATTAGAAAATATAAGGAAAAGGCAGAAGCAAATCATGAAGAAGTTAAAAGAGAGTTGAATAAATGGAAAAAGGGGGAGCTGATCAAAGAAAAAGAAGAAAGGTTGGAAGCGACAGAGGAAAGATAGGAAAAGAAAGTGGAGTGGTAATGAAATAATTGCATAAAAAAAAAGTATATATAATTATTTTTCATTCATCCATTTTGTTTATGTTTATTTGTTGGCATCGCAGTCCCCACGGTAAATACCTCTCGAACAAAAAATTTCTTCATTTTTATTTTGTCTACATTTTTTAATACAAACACCCAAAAAATGTATCATATTATTTTAGGACCTATTGTAGGACCACCTGTCAGTTTTACTATTAGTTGACACCAGAATGCAACTGCTAACCTTTGCTTTTTGTATGCTCAAAGGAATGTTTGAGAAGGCCTTGTTTTCATATCCTTAGGGATATGAAAGATAAAACAATTGAAAAAGAGACTGCAATGTAGGAAATGCCACTAAAGGAACGTGATATCATTGAAGCATTAAATATATTCAATAAAAACTTTATCAAGATTGTGAGTGAACATAATTATTCCAAATCAGAGTATACTTTCCTTGTTTGCGGTGGATAAGGTTGCTTGATAAAACCTATAGGTTTAGACAACTGGTAAAATTAAATTCAGTTTAAATGTTTTGACAAAAAGCTTTAAAAATGCGAAACTACGAAACATTTTGCAGGTTTTGCAATTTCGCAAAATTTTTATGATATTTAATAGAATTTTGCCAATTTATATAATATTATAACATATTTTATTATTTGTATTGATTAATAAAACAAACACAAATATTTTAAAAAAATTATGAAAATAATAGTCTAAAATATGTTTAATATTCAAATATATTTATTGTCATTACCGTCTAGCACTGCCTAAAATACCCCGGGTCTTTTACAATTTATCTGATTTAAAAATTGAATAGTATCCGTGGGTACTTTGTGACGTACCGGGTACATTTAATGGTAGGATATTATAAACCGGAGGTATTATATTACGGGGATATTTTGTAACAGGAATATAAATTATATAGAATGCTTGTATGCTATATGATGATACAAGACGATTAATAACTTTATAATAACTGCGACAAATCACAGAACGGTAATACCTCAATAAGTGCATGTAACTCATATTGATATTTCTATTTAAGTTTGATTTCTTTTTTAAAGTTTATTACGATATATGCTTGCTCTTGACCAGATATGGTTTAACCTATAACTGTTGATCCTGAACACCATGTAGAGGTGGCAAGCTTCGTTCAGGTTTCTTTTTTATTTGGAAAAAAATTTACAAAAAAAAACGAAATTAAGATAATGTAATAGATAAAGAAAGGAGAGACAATAGTTGGATGAAGAGGATTATTATGGTGTTTTATGTGTCAGGATGTAATGGAGGGGCATTAGAATCAGATTGGTTGGAATTAGTGAGAAAATTAAGCATGACATGAAAGAGAAGAATGGTTAGAAAGATGATTAGGAGTTGATGATTCTAAAATATATATTGTAAATAATTAAGTATAGATTAGAACAATATAATCAAATAAATTTCTTATCTTGATTACTTAACAAATCTCGCCTTCTTTCTTCTACACGAGATGCTAAAAAATAAAAATACTGAATTTAATAATGGTTCTCTTCTATCAATATCAATTAAAAGGTTTAACTAGATTTCTCCCAAAATTTATCATCAAATTGCTTGCCAAATACTTCTTCTACATGTGGAAGGCAGTTAGTAGAAAGGAAAAATCTAAATTTTGGTTAAAATTTATATTATTAGACCACTTGGCTAATCTTGATCATATGCATAAATTTGGCTTAATAATAAAAATTAACAAAAATTTGGATTTCCTCCTTTTCTACTGATCGCCTCACATGTGTTCATCTTCTACCAGATTTCCCTTCAGCATATCTTTGAAATAACTAAAAAATTAAAATTAATAATTTATATATTTTTTTAAATATAATTAATCTCCTTTTTCTTTACATAAATTTACTTACTTTACAATCCTTGATTATTTTAAACTTGTTCCTAACCTGCATACCAGTAAAAGCTGTCTTCAAATTTACTTCGATCTACATCACAATTTTGTTCCAAAATGGTAACTTTGACCTACTAAACCTTTTTCAATAATCTTTATTTTTCTCTCTTTTTAAATCGATCAAAAGTCGCATTTTTTCTTCAGATCATTTAATAATATTAAGTATTTTTAGAAATTAAGAAAATATTTGATCATTAGAAAAAAATAAAATTGTGATAAAAACTTTCTTTTTATAAAATTGTATCGAAATATGTCAGCATTAAACAAGTTTGCAAATAATTATCTAATTTTTCAATATTTTAAAGCAAGACACATCATCATTAAATAAGTTTGCAAATTATCTAATTTTTCAATATTTCAAAATGAAATATATCAGCATTAAATAAGTTTACAAATAATTATCTAATTTTTAATATTTTAAAAATTTCTTAATTTTTGTAATTTCAAATTTTACGATTTTCACAATTTCAAATTTTAAATTACAGAAATCAATGTATAAATAATCACTACTGATTCAACCTAAGATCAACATTAGTTAATCTGGTGTACAACACTATTTAATTCTATAGAAATTTATTGATGATTAATTTCAAAAATTTCATAATTTTTGTAATTTCAAATTTTAAATTACAGGAATCAATACATAATCACAACTGATTTAACCCAAGATCAACACTAGTTAATCTGAGGTACAACACTATTTAATTCTATAGAAATTTATCAATGATTGGTTAATTCTATTGAAGTTGAACTTTTAAAATGGTTTAGAGAATCTCAAAGCAAATTGAAAGTTGTTTCACGTTATATGATTCAGGCAAAATTACGTTCTTTGGCTAAAAAACAAATTTATCAGGTAGAGTTTCATATATAAAAGATGCAAAATTTTCACAAAAATGGGTTGATAGCTTTATGACCTATTATAAATTAATTAATAAAAGAAAAATAACAATTGCTCAAAAGCTTCCAGAAAATTATATTGAATTACAAAGTCAGTTTTTATCTTATGTTCTATTTCATTGAAAAAAACATCAATATCTATTATCTTCAATTGCGGATAAAATACTAATGGCTTTTAATTTATCAAATAATGCAACAGTAAAGCAACGTAATACTAGAACTGTATCAATTTTAACAACTGATCATGAACATTCCAATTTTACTGTTATTTTAACTTGTATAGCAGATAGAACAAAATTATCTCCTGTGATTATTTTTAAACTCGTAAATATTTCATGTGAGGAGTTTCCTGATGGTGTGATTATTCATGCTAATAAAGAAGGTTGGATGAATGAAAATGAAATGATTTGGTGAGTAGAAAACATTTGAAGACAATGTGCAAGATGATGCAGTTGCTATAACACTTGTTTTACAAATGTATAGCATTTTTGAGTTCGATAAGCTTCAACATAGCTTGTACCTTCTTGATCGTTTTGCTACTCATCATTAAAAGGATTTGTTTTACAAATTAATTTTAATTACTGAGAATCCTTTTCTTCACGTGAACGATAATTTCCTTTAATAATTTCTTTTCAATGTTATTGTTGTCTAATCTTCAGTCTAATTATTCTTTATCTTTCTTTAATTATTATAATTCTTCTCTTTTATTCTTATTATTCTTAACGTTAGTTTAAACTTTTCAAACCTCACATAGTTTCAGTAGCGTCAGCGTCAATAGACCATCAGTAAATGTATACAATACTTTTACTATAAGTATTTAGATTACTATTTGAGTACTAAGCATCAACTATTCTATTCTATAATATTTCTCTTAAGTTATTTATTCTTCTATTGTATTCTTTCAATTTCTAATTCTAATTATTATATATCTTTATCTCTTCTGAATATTTTTTCTGAATATTACTTCTGAATGTTTCTTCCGAATATTATTTTTCTTTATTATTCTTTAATATTCTGTTTATTACTCTTGTTTATTTTCCTTCATATCTTTTAATTGCATTTATTTAATTTTCTGTCATATTTTTATTATTTCTTCTGAGTTTTATTCCTGCATTATTTCATTAACATTTTTCTAAAATTAAAGTTTATTTATAAGTAAAATAATTTTATTTATTTCCATAATTTAATTGTTCAACAATTAATTATTTCAAACAAAAGTATTTATTTTTATTTGTGTTCAAAGTTTATTTATTAAAATTATTATTTTTTTTTTATTCTTAGGAAATTTGAACCTCTAGTACTTGAAGATATTCAAGGTATTTATATACTAAATTTACATAGTATAGGTGATAAATAGTAACTACCTATGATGAATAAACTAATTATTTCCCCTGTGATATTTAATATCTATCACTAATTATAACTACCAGTGATGTATATTCTATATATTACTACGTGATGTTTAATATTCACTTTTCCTGCTTTTAATATTTTCTTTTATTCTGAATTATCTGATCTTTATTCTGAATTT